ATGCTGCTTGGCCTGCTGTGTTCATCCAGCTCTACACCTTGTTATCTCAGAATCAACTGCAATTTTTCTTTTGTGATTTACTTTCTAATATGAAGGTGCTGTTTTCAATTTCCCAATGGTCAAGTGTTTGTAGTAAAACTATAACATTTCTATATTTCTGTCCAGTGTCTACTGTTGGGAGATTTTTTGAAAAGTCTAATGATTTGCCTTGCTTATATATAATATATATATACTTTAAGAGAAACATTTCCAAAAAAGAGCCATGTACCAGGGGTATAGCAACCACCTCTCCGGATTCCTTGATATTGACAGTTTAGTATTGTTAACTGCACATACCTGTGAATTAATGGACAAAGAGCTCTGTCTGATCACAATGAGCCAGTGACTCTAACTTTACTGTTCATATTTCACAAATTGCATGAACAGTTGGTGATGTACTAGAGGACTGTGACGGACTTAATCTGTGATTTCGATAAGTTGTCCTCAGCAAATGGGTGCTCTCTTACTAAACAATGAGTATTAAAAGGATCAAGTGTCCTTGAGACTGCTGATCTGATTGTCCTTGTATTCCTTCCAGAGGAAAAAAACCAACACATCAGAAAAAAGTATTGTGATTGAAAAGAGGCGGGTGGGATAAGGAGGTATGCAAAGACCTATTCATTTTCAAATAGCCAAATTGGTATAGATAAGCACTACCATCAGAATCTCTGATTTATAGAATACCTGAGAATAAGTGGCATGTGCTAACATCCCATACCAGACAAACATTTCCTAATGCTGGTTTGCTGGGCAGAGTAGAAATGCAACAATAACCTGTGTTTATTAAGCACCTTCAGCATGGCAAATGATCCTAAGGCACTTCACAGGGATTTTATTGGACAGAAATTTAATATATAACCACAAAAGGAGTTATTAGTAGGGGTGATCAAAAGCTTGGTGAATGAAATAGATTTTTAGGAGCATCTTGAAGGGAGACAGAGGGAGGGAATCGGACAGGTGTATGAGGGAATTCTAGAGCTAAGGGCCTAAATAGTTGAAGGCAAGGACACCAACGTGAAATTTGGCCCACATAGATGAGATCAATATTATTATTAATGAGATTGGAGGGCTGAGGGGGTTCCAGCGTGTAAGAGGTTTGAGACAGATAGTAATGTACCCTCAACTCAGAGGATCTTGTCATGAAATGTATCTGACTTTTAAGGAGAGACCCATGAAGAAGTTCACAAAAGACAGTGCAGTATTTTTAAACATAGTATGGGGCAGGCCAGCTGTTTTAGTTTATAAATAGGGGCACAATGACAGCTGAAAAATCAACAGATTTTAACTCACTTGGAACAAAGGAACAGGAGGAGGCCATTCAGTCCCTTCAGTCTATTCAAACATTCTACTACACTATGGTTTATCTGTACCTCAATTCCATCAACTGTTTCAATTTCATAATGCTCACATCCTCGCCTGATGATAAACTATCAATCTTAGTTCTAATATTTCCAATTGAACATTCCTTGCCACCCCACTGTTACTAAACTGCCACAGCTTCTTTGGAGAAAGAGTTCCAGATTATCACTGCCCTCTGTGTGAAGTGCTTCCTGACATCACCTCCAAACAGTCTGGCTCTAATTTTACGGTTATACCACCTTATGGATGTTAGGAGTAAAGTTACAAATTGGCATCATATGCCCAAAATCTGCTCAGAAGATAGACTCTAATGCTGTGTGACAAATTAAAACAAGTGGGAATTTTTACTTTACAAGTTCTATGTTGCTGATTTTGGAAATTTCACAAAGCACAAAGATTATAAAAAGAGGGCCTTGGCTTATCAGGATGACAGTACAACAGATTTACATCATTGGCCTTTTAAGGGCACAATATTTACAAAATAAGCCGCCATGCTCAATCAAAGTTTCTTTCAAAAGCTGACAAGTAGTTAGTACACAATGACAATAAGAAGGTACTTTTATTTTGCAGGCAACAGTCACAGTTAGTTCAAATTGTCTCTTTGGAGATGAATTAAGCGTGAGCATTTCAATAAGAGCTGGGGTTTCAATCTATAGAGCTGAAACAATTGCTCCTTGGGTCCGAACCCCAGGTTAGAGAGCAAAACTGCAGAGTAAGCACCTGATGTCAAAAAGGCTTGGCAGTTTCCACAGATCAGGGCCACCTGGAGTAGAGGCCTGCATTAATCTATGGAGGTGAAAGGAACATTTTTGTGTAGGTTAGGGTTCTGGCTATGTCGATTCCGACTCCGCAGAGAGGAGAACATCATATTGCAACCAGGGACCTTGCACTTATGCATTTCACGAAGATGGACTGTCTTATAGTGAACCCTCAAAGTTCCCTTGTTGCTGTACATTTTGTGGCAGATAATACACATGATTCCACCATTGCTAGTTGATGCTGCCTGCAGTATGGAGGCTTCCAGGACTTCATGACTGGAACCAGCAGCTTGGGACTGGGCCTCTGCTCTGTGAGTGGATTCACCACTGTCGCTGGCCCCATCTATTTCATCCAGCAGAATCCCTTCATCACTTTCTGCCTCCGATTCCCGTGATGAGTGAATGCTGCTGCTGGATTGAACACTGGAAGTGGTACTGAGATCCAACACCATGTAATCATCTGCTGTGACCCTTGTGTAGCCATTGGTGTGGGAATCTTCCGTTCCTGCCGGTGAACTGGCTTCGTCCTGCATATCTAGCCCAATGCCATGGTGCCCTCCATAGATCTTGGCCAAGAATTCTTCACGGAGATCCTTGGCAAGAGGCGGAGCTGGATCCAAGCCCATTTCATCCAGTTCTTTGGTCAGAAGCTTACGGTGAAGGTTTATGTTGGCGCTGTGTCTGGAAAGAGCAAGAAGCGTGTCTGTCAGTACATTGAATGGCTATTGCAGTCGTAGAGCACTAACCTGCAACAGAATTTAATAAATATCAAGACTAATAAATAACAAGAATAATGAAAAAAATACATAAAGAACTCAGTGGTTGTTCACTATCTCCCATTCATTAGCTATTAGAATTTGAGAATAGTGGTTAAGCAAAACTAGAAACTGCAGAAAATAGTCATTATTACTTGATCTAAACTCCCGTGCAGCACATTCCTAATTTCAGGTGTGTTATCCAGAATAACTGGTGAATGTTGTGGTATTTTACGATAGGAAGGAAGGGAGATTCAAAGGGATAGGTGACTTGCAGTTCTATGACTGCATAGTCAATTGTTCAATGCAATCTTGCAAAGTCTTAGATAACATGTAGCTTGAACAAATGGCCTGATCACTGATGGTGGTTACCTTTTAGGTTTTATTGACCGCTTTTCCATGGAAAGGAGTTGTATTCTCTTTTAGTTGTTCATGGGATATTGGAATAGCTCGTCTCCAGTTGCCCTGAGGCACTTAAGAGTCAATTGCATTGCAGTGGGTTTGGCCGCTCATGTAGGCCACACCAGGTAAGAATAGCAAATTTCCATTCCTAAAGGGCATTAGTGAACCAGATGGATTTTTAACACATTAGTCAAAAATTATTTGGTTAATATTAGACTACCTTTTTATTCCAGATTTTTACTGAATTCAAATATCACCATCTGCCATGGTGAGATCAGAACCCATGTCATCAGAACATTAGCCTGGAATTCTGGATTACTTGTCCAGTGACATCACCACTACACCACTGCCTTCTGCTTTGTAAAGTAAAAGTACACTCACATAATTGAGCAAGAACATAGAACTGGAAGGTATTTGGCATTTATGTTTTTCAAAGACTGAAAATAAACAGTTTATAAGGCTATCTTGATAATTCACAGGGACCCAGAATTTTGAAAAGTCCCTGATGCAAGCTTTGCAGTAGGATGTATATGACATTTGTTTATGCTTTATTTAAAGTGGGATAGAAGCATACATTCAGACTGTCAGGTATTTGAGCAGAACACTGGTGCAACTGACTTTTCCTCAAATCCGGACCACAGGAACCATGAATAATATTAGATTTTTTTTTGGTTTAGGACAATACATTTTTGCAGGAATATATTTCAACTTCACTACTCTGTACCATACAATGACAAATTGTCGTTAATTGCAGTTAAATAAGTCTGTTGTTGTATGTTCAGCCAAACTCTCAGAAAGAAAACAATTTAATTTTTCATTCTGGTCCTGAAAGGATTATTTAATGTCCTCAGAGTAAAGAATCCTCATGGCAAGAGTGATCGTAATATAATCAAATTTGTCATTTATTTTGAGGGTAAGGAATGTGGGTCTGAAAGAATCTTAAACATAAATAAAGGCAGTGATAAAGGTATAAAGACAGAGTTGCTACAGTTGAATAAGAAAATAAGTTAGAAGGAATAGATTGCAGAGAAGTAATAGCAGACATTTAAGGAGGATTTTCATAACTCTTAAGAAAGATATATTTCATTGAAAATGAAATGTTCTACGAGATGGATCCACCAAATATGGCTAACAAAGAAAGTTAAAGAAGGTACAAAGAACTGCTGTGAAGATTAGTGGCAGCCTGACAGATAGTAAACTGTTAACAGTTTCTGAAATGTTGCTAAAGATATAATGAAGGGAGAAATTAGAATATAAGGGTAAACTAGCAAGAAACATCAAAATACAGTGAAAGCTTCTACAAATACATAAAATGGAAACAGTAGTTAAAATAAGCATTGGTCCATTAGTGGATGAGACCTAGTATTAATAATAGGAAACAAGGAAATAGAAGATAATTTGAATAAGTATTTTGCATCTCTGTTCAAAGCAGAAGACAATAAAACCGTCACAAGAATTGGAGCAAAACTAAGATGCAAAAGTTAGGAAGGAGTTTAAAATAAACACTATCATTGGAGAAAAAGGACAAGAAAAACAAATGGGACTAAAGGTTGGCAAGTCCTCTGGATCTGGTGGTATACATTCTACCATCTTAAAAGAAGTTGCTACAGATTTAGTGGATGTATTGTTTGAAACCAATGATCCCAGAAGATTGGAAAATCACATATGTGACATGTGTATTCCAGAAAGGTGCGAGTCAGACAGCTGAAAACCAAAGGCCAGTTCGCCTCGTACCGGTCATTGGAAAACTGCTGGAATCCATTATTAAAGAAGTAATTGCAAGATATTTAGCTAATCACACAAAACTAGCCAGATTTTGTAAAAGGGAAACCATGTTTGATACATTTGATTTTTTTTGTAAGAATGTAACAAGTCGGGTGGATTCAGGGGAAGCAATTGATATAGTCCATTTGGATTTCCAAAATACATTCAGAAAGGTGTCACATAGAATGCTATTACACAAGATAACAGCCTGCAGTTATAGCGGTAACATTAATACAAGATTGGCTGACTAACAGGAAACATACAGTAAGGATAAATGGGTCACATTCAGGTTGGCAAAATGTAATTAGTGGAATTTCACAGGAATCAGTGCTGGTCCCAGCTATTTTTAATTCATTTGTGGGATATAGACATCACAGTTTAGGCCAACATTTATTGCCTATCCCTAAATTCCCTTGAAGGTAGTGGTGAGCTGCTTGTTGAACTGCTGTAGTCCATTTGTTGTAGCTAGACACAAAGAGTGGAAATTCCATGATTTTGACACAGCAACAATGAGGAACAGCAATCTATTTTGAAGTCAGGATGATAAGTGGTTTGGAGGCAAAATTGCTAGTAGTGGTATTCTCATGTACCTGCTGCCCTTGTCTTTTTTGTATAGTAGTGGTTGTGGGTGCTATTGATATTTGGTAAATTTCTGTAGTGCATCTTGTAGATAGTACACACTATTGCTACTGAGTGTTGGTGGTGGAAAGACTGAACGCATGTGGATGTGGCAACAATCAGGCTGCTTTATCCTGGATGGTGTCAAGCTGCTCGAGTGTTGTTGGAGCTGCACTCAACCAGGCAAGTGGAGTGTATTCGATCATGCTCCTGAATTGTGCCTTGTAAATGGTGGACAACTTTGGGAAGTCAGGGGGCTTGTGTTACTTGCTGAAATATGCCTAGCTTCTGACCTGTGCTTGTAGCCACTGTAGTTGTACGGCTAGTCCAGTTTAGTGTCTGTTAAATGGTAAACCCTAGGATATTGATAGTGTTAGTAAGACTATTGAATGTCAAGGGTGGTGGTTAGATTGTGTCTTGTTGGAGATGGTCATTGCCCAGAATTTGTATGAAGCGAATGTTGTCACTTAACAGCCCAGGCCTGGATATTGTCCAGGCATTGCTGTATTTGAACATGGATTGCTTCACTATCTGAGAAATCGTGAATGGTACTTAACATTGTACAACCATCAATAAACGTCCCCAGTGCTGCGCTTGTGATGGAGGGAAGGTCATTGATGAAGCAGTTGTAAATGGACATTACCCTGACGCACTCCTGCACAGATGTCTTGGAGGCGAGATGATGGACTTCCAACAACCACACTCATCTCCTTTGTGCCAGGTATGGCTCCAATCACTAGAGAGCTTTTGCCCTGATTCACATTGATTCCATTTTTGTTAGGGGTCATTGATATCACACTTGGTAAAATGTGGCCTTGATGTCAAGGGCTGTCGCTCTCACCTCACCTCTAGAATTCAAACTTTTGCTAATGTTTGAACCAAGGTTGTAATGTGGTTAGGAGTTGAATGGCCCTGGGAACCCAAACTGGACATCAGTAAGCAGGTGCTACTTGATGGTACTGTTGATGACACCTTCCATCACTTCACTGATGATCAAGAGTACATTGATTGGGCGGTAATAGGTCAGGTTGAATTTGTCTTGTTTTCTGTTTACAAAACATATGCCACATTGTTGAGTAGATGCCAGTCTTTTAGCTATACTGGAACAGCTTGACTAAAGGTACAGTGAGTTCTGGAGCACGTTGTCAGTACTATTGCCAGAATGTTGTCAGGCTCCTAGTCTTTAGTATACAGTGTCTCTAACTGTTTCTTGATACCACATGGAGTGAATCGAATTGGCTGAAGACTGGTATCTGTGATAGTGAGGACCCCAGGAGGAGGCCAAGATGGATCATCAACTTGGCAAGTATGGCTGAAGATTGTTCTGAATGCTTCTGTCTTATCTTTGTTAATGATTCTGAAGAAGGAACCAAGTATGCTGTAGCCAAATTAACTGCTGATACAAAGATAGGTAAGAGGTGCCAATGAGATTAAGATAGGTGAAGTGAGTGAGCATAAATTTGGCTGATGGAATATAATGTAGGGAAAGTGGTTAACTTTGGCTGGAAGAAAAGAAAAACAGAAAAGTACTTAAATGGAAGGCAAGTGCAGAATGTTGCTGTACAGAGGGATCTGCTTTAGGGTTGGGTAACTTGTAGGACAAAGTTCGTGTGCAGGTACAACAAATAGTTAGAAAAACAAACAGAATGCTGACCTTTTTGATATGGAAGATGAAATATGAAAGTATTGAAGTCATACTGTATACATTTGTGTGTCAGTGAACATTGAGAATACTATGTACAGTTTTAGTCCCCTTACATAAGAGGCATATACATTCATTGGTAGCAGTTGAGAGAAGGCTCACTAAGCTGATTCTAGGGGTAAAGGGCTGTTTTATGAGGAAAGTTTAACTAAATCGGACCTATATTCATTGGAGTTTCGAAGATTGGGAGGTGTTCTTATTTGAAACATATCAGATTCTGAGAGTGTTGCACAGGGTAGCTGCTCAGAGAATCTGTTCCCTCATGGGAGAATCTAGAACTGGGGGGCTGAGTTTAAAATTAGTGATCTGTCTCAGAGAAGATGATGTGGAGGAACTAGTTCTCTCAGACAGTGATTAAACCTTTGCTTTCTATTCTCCACAGAGCAGTGGAAACTTCAACATTGGATACATACAAGGTTGAGTAAGACAGATTTTTGAGG